TGGTTTGAGTTGTGAGCCGCCCTGAGTCCCCCTCGGGGAAAAGGGCGGCATATAAATAAAATAAACATTCAACATTCATTGTGGGTGAATTCAGGTTATGATCCGGCAGCTTGCTGTTAAATTATAAATCTCAAGAACCCTTGGCAGCATGACAATGATGGGGGTTGATGGGAGTTGCATCAGCATCTGGAAAACCTAAATTGCTATAAAATTCAGTAATTAGAAAGATAAATCAATAGCATTATGACATAAAGTCCCACATTTCCTATCATCTGTTGAGACTGGATATGAACAGATGGAAAAGGGACTTTTCAGAAGCTTTGGGTATTTATTTTGGCATTATTTCATTTTTTAGCTCTTTCGCTGGCCACATTATGGAAAGTTCATTATGGAAGAAATGTTGATAATTAAAGTTTACAACTGCAGTAAGGTGTTCAGTAACAGGTAGGTTCCTAACTCACTGGGAAAATCTTTCTGCTACATTTCACTTCACAGTCACTTGAACCTGAATCATTCATTCATGCTATACCAAAAATAAACATCCCATTTTTAGTAGATACACCTTTCCTTTTGTATCACCCAGAGAACAGTCAAGTAATTGTAAAATAGCCAACAGCTTGAGTTTCTCCCATTTAATATTTTATGCTTAACTTTTCTTCTTCTTGATGACATTTTCCAGTGCACAATATAAAAAGTTGTGTTTTTAAGGATTTGTTATGTATAGAAGAAGGACGTGGTGGCTCAGTTGCTAAAAAGCTGAGCTTGTCAATCAGAAAGGTCGGCAGTTTAGCGATTTGAATCCCTAGCACCGTGTAACAGAGTGAGCTCCCGTTACTTGTCCCAGCTTCTGCCAACCTAGCAGTTTGAAAGTATGTAATGCTTTTAGTCATGCTGGCCACATGACGACGGAGATGTCTTCGGACAGTGCTGGCTCTTCGGCTTTGAAAAGGAGATGGGTACCGCCCTCTAAAGTCAGGAATGAGTAGCATATATGTGCGAGGGGAACTTTTACCTTTACCTTATGTATAGAAGAGAAGGAAAAGGGCTATAGTGTTATCCAACAACTATTTACATTTCTTGCTATACCATGATAAGATTCTCTTGGTTGAAACCCAGACCAAAAGGGAAAGATGGGAGAAAGCAAAGAATTTGGAGGAAGGGTGGGGCAGAAGCAGAAGGCTTAATTTGCCTTTTATCTTGGTTTTCTTTTTGTAGATTACTTGGCACCTTAGTTATCAGCCTTCAGCAGTTGGTAATGTCTGGACGACTGAACATCAGAGAGGCTCTTGTTGACAAAAACCACAGCATTACTAGGGTAAGTCATTTGATTGGTAACATTTCAAATGCAAGTGATATGTCCCAAGCATCTCAAATCAGCCTTTTGAGACGTAGGACACTACCACAGAAACATTTCACTGTCTTTCTGTTGCTGAACATATCCACAGTCATCACACAATTATTCATCACCAACTCCAGTTCCTGGCCACCCTTGGAAAACCTCCTCCACCCGCTCCCCAGGCTTCCTGTTGTATGAAATACATTTTTCAATATATTTCTCCTGTCTTGTGGTCATTCCTCTCTCCATGTTGGAGTCTGGCCAGGCAGAATCTATCTGGACTAGAAGGTAAAAAAAGGACCTTAAATCATAAAGGGCCTGACAGGAGGTAGCCAGCAAAGGAGGAAGGAGTGACCTAAGCTTTTTGTACAAAAAGGAGCCTACACTTGTTGAACAAAAAATCCTCCAACTATTTGGGAGTTGTAATAGTTTAGTCTTAAGTTTTATTTTTCTTCTGTAGATATATATTGAATTGGATTTGAGATATCAACCTCCGGATGGTGCTGCAGGGACATGGGTTGAGGAAGATTTTATCTACCAGATGAAAGACAGGTACTGGAAGACCCAACGTATTCATTTTTAATATTCTAAATGATAATAGGTAGTATTGCTTTTTTAACTTAAAATATCTATCCCACACCTAAATAGCTTTCTAATCACAAAGTCATAGAACACTGCTGAAATTAAGATATAGTCCCACAGTCTGATAAAGGAGGTGTGATAAATAAAAAATAAGATAGTTTGTAAGACTTGTAACAAGTCCAAACCGATGATGACAATTGCCACACAGTTTTCAAGGTGGAACCAGGTGTATTTGCAAATAGCCAAAAACACAAATCAATCTTGAATGTGTTTTGAACTGGACCAAATGAAATGGGAGATGGAAACCTGCAGCTGTCTACTATATAAAACTTTAATTCCCAAACTGGATGATTTGTAGGGAAAAGGTGGTTTTTAAAAAAAAAGTTATATCAATAATGAATTTCAACAACCAACATTTATTTGCTTTGCATTACTCATATTTTATTTTTCTTTGTTACAGTTCTGAGGTTATAATTCGCAATGCAGGATTTGAAGAATTAGAGTAAGTAGCATATTCTACATACATGCTACTAGCCTGATACAGTATATTATTGCTGTAACAAGTATATGAAAATGTTTACAGCTCATGTGATGGTGCAATATTCCAAGTTGTGCTCTCTCCCACCCACTTTTTAATGTGATTTTGAATCACTGTTGCCTCCTTAGTAAGATTTTTGGAAATGATTTGTTGAGTGGGAATAACTTGCCCAAGGTCATGCAGCTGGCTTTGTGATTAAACTGGGACTAGAATTCATGGTCTTCTGTTTGTAGCCTAATGCCTTAATACTACACCAAACTGCTTTTCATTGTAGAATTCCACATGTAATATTAGTCTGTTTTGAACTCATATTTCAAGCAAATAGCAATAGTACTTAGACTTATATACCGCTTCATAGTGCTTTTCAGCCCTCTCTAAGCAGTTTACAGAGTCAGCATATTGCCCCCAACAATCTGGATCCTCATTTTCCCAACCTCGGAAGGATGGAAGGCTGAGTCAACCTTAAGCCTGGTGAGATTCGATCTGCCAAACAGCTGGCAGACGGTGATCAGCAGAAGTAGCCTGCAGTACTGCACTCTAACCACTGCGCCACTATGGCTCAGTGGATCAGTAAATATCAGTGATCAACTCAGGAGTGCTTGTGATGTACAAGATACAGGATTGTATGGGATGGTAATAATAAAGGCTTTCTACATAAAGCAACTGGGTGAGGTCATCTAATGGTACAGTGTGATACCCAGCATTATATCTCCACCCCTGGTTGCCCAATAGGTTGAACAACAGGTTTCAACTCAATCTTAGCAAGATTGAGTGGCTTTGGGTACGAAGACCCTTTGCTTCTGGGGGTTGTCCATCTTTAGTTCTTTGTGAGCTTGTACAACCTCAAACAGAACTAGGGAGCAATTTGGGAGTCTTCCTGCACTTACAGTTCTTGTGGCAGCCATGGCTGGGATGGCCTTTTCATGACTTTATGTTTTTGCACCTTTTCCTGAACTGGGATGACACTCATGCCTTGTTCACTTCCTACAATTGCGAGACCGCCTACTGCCACATACCTCCCAACGGCCGATAAGATCCCACAGGGTGGGCCTCCTT